AGTGTTGTTGCTACTAATTCCTGCATAATCAGAACATGATTGCCGCATAATCATTAAACCCAGTGCCTCTTCGAAACTGATTCCTGCATAATCAGAAAGCACCTCATTAGCTGATTTCCCTTATACCCCCTTTGGTTCATGGGAAAGGAGGTTTGAGAATGAGAATTCAATTACTTTCCCGTGTTTGGTAAGTCCAGGTATGGGAAATGGTTGCCTGGCACATAAGAAAGTAGGGATGAAAGTGAAGCCCTCCTCTTAACTTAGGTTTTGTTTTCCCTCCTCGTGGGAAAGTTTGGGAGAATGAGCAAACATTTAATGCACAATTTTCATGACTATTTTGTCCCTATGAACAATTTAGAATTACAACGTATCATTAAATGCATTCTTTTTTTATTTAATTTAATATGGGTGTAATTGGAAAATTATACAAATTTTATTTTTCATTTCTACTTAAAACAAACATATGGGAAAGGAAACAAAGTGAAATATCTCGGTCACTTTCCCGACATTATCAAACGTGGGAAAGGAATCTTGCATTCTCATTCTTTGGGAAATGACGTGGGAAGTGATTTCCCCTCAAATCCATTCCGTGAACCAAACGGAGCCTTATAGCTTTTTCTCACAGCAATTTTTAACAATAACTGATTTTCTCATAATTTACCAAATGGCCTAGGCTTCCAATTTTTTTTTAAAAAAATCACTTATCAGCCCAAATAAGCAATGTCAAACAGGCACTAAAATGTGAAGAAGATTAAAGTAAATAAATAAATATTTCAAATCGAATTTTCAGCGGAAACAAACAACATCCAAAATTTTACTTTTTTACATTATTTTACAAGTTAGAACTACTCAAGAGTAAACTAAAAAGGTAGCTCATCATTCAACCACAAGCTATGTACACAATACACTCCATAGGCATGTCAAAATCATCACCGAATTTTGTTAATTGAAGTTGACAAGAGTGGTTGGACTATCTTGATCACTTTCTTACTTCTTGGCTTATTGTTAGAGTTTGGGCTGCTTCCTTTCGTTACCAATGTGGGTTAAACAAATCAATAAGTAATTTTGAATTCTTGTATATTGATATGTGTAAGGATTACAATATTTATATTATATTCGTACAATAAAGATATAAACGGTAATTAGGCCTCATCATTTTGCCCGCGGGCTCATGGGCCGATGAGGACCCGCCCGACCCATTGGAAAAAAGCCCAGCCCGGCCCGTTATGGGCTTTGAGATGGCCCGGCCCGCCTTGGGCCGGGCTAGGCTAGGGCTTGGGTGTCTGAAGCCTGGCCCGGCCCACCCACAAAAGCCCGGCCCGTTAGGCCCGCATACATATATAATTATGTATAAATAAGAGTTTAGGATTAGGATTATATCACTTAAATCACATATATAATTTGTTTCATTTCATTTACTTTTCTTTACTCATTCCTAGTTTATAATTGGATGATTAACACATTAATTTGTGTCAATTATTAATACAACAATTATATATATATATATATAAATAAGATGAACAATATATCATATCACTAAATATAATCATATCACGAAACATAATCGTACTACTACCACCAAATATAATCATGTTTTTCTTGAACACATCACCAAAGATTTACATATTTATTTATACCATCCTTTAAAAAAAATATCTTTTTGATACTTATTATTTTTTAAAATTATTTCTTAAAACGTATTACGGTCTAATTATGTAATAACCTAAAAAATAATACTTTGTTTTATTATTTTTATGGAAAATCTTATTAAGTTGTGTGACTTTATTGGGTATTTTATGAATTTGATTTGATGTGAAAATATTGGAATTAAGTGAGTTTAATCTGAAATTTAGACTAAAATGCCCTTATGATTAAGTTTATGATTTTTTTCGAATGAAGTAGGCCCGTTAGGCTTAGCCCAGCCCGGCCCAATGGGCTTTCTCAAGCCCGACCTATGGGTAGGGCTTGGGCTTTGAATTTTCTAAAAAAACCCGGCCCGGCCAGTCCCAAGCCCGTTAAATTTGGGCCGGGTTTTTCTTTGGGATATGGAGAGTTCTGGCTGAGTGCCCAGCATCAACAATCTGACCAACTTGCCATGTCTGTGGCATTCCTTAAGGGTGTGCCAATCCCCAAAAAAAAAAAAAAAAAAAAAAAAAAAAAAAAAAAAAAAAAAAAAAAAAAAAAAAAAAAAAAAAAAAAAAAAAAAAAAAAAAAAAAAAAAAAAAAAAAAAAAAAAAAAAAAAAAAAAAAAAAAAAAAAAAAAAAAAAAAAAAAAAAAAAAAAAAAAAAAAAAAAAAAAAAAAAAAAAAAAAAAAAAAAAAAAAAAAAAAAAAAAAAAAAAAAAAAAAAAAAAAAAAAAAAAAAAAAAAAAAAAAAAAAAAAAAAAAAAAAAAAAAAAAAAAAAAAAAAAAAAAAAAAAAAAAAAAAAAAAAAAAAAAAAAAAAAAAAAAAAAAAAAAAAAAAAAAAAAAAAAAAAAAAAAAAAAAAAAAAAAAAAAAAAAAAAAAAAAAAAAAAAAAAACATCTCACTATTTGCCTCTATAATGAATCTCTCTGCGCCCGATGTATAAAGTCTAGTACATTCTTCTTCACATGGGAAACCTCATTTAAGTCGGACAGTACGTACGTTTATACAAGGATTACCCGGTATTATATTCCAATTTGCCTTAGCAACCAACATTATTGACGATTGAGATATTCTGATGATGGACGCCTCCCTCCGTTTGCATTGGATCCAACTTTCTTTTTGTGCATGTCAACTTGCCCTCTTTCTTTAAGGAAACGTGTTATGATAACGAGTGTGGAGTCTATAAGGAAAGTCGCCTTTCATAGGGTCTTTAGGGCTCCGTCTGTCGACGCCTTCTGGGAAAGAGTTGAAAGTCTACAAAAGTTAACGTATATTGCCACTAATGATTACACTGTTTTCCTCTAATTAATTTTATCCAAAAGTCCGTGACCTTTCTATATTCCACAACGGACATGCTTTACTAATAATAATATTATTTTATATGTCATCTCTTAGCGTACGTCCGAAAAGAAAATTGCCTGTGGGTGCTTCATCTGAACAATACTCTTTTTCGTACAATCACGACTTGCCCGAAGGGACAAAGTGTCCAACGCCATCGATTTCGTCACTCCGTACATCACCTATAGGATTTAGTGGGCTTGTATCATATAGCCCAACAATATTTAGATTTGTTACAAACTTTTCTTTTTTATGTAATGTTTTTATAAAAAATTATGGAAACTCTTTTCTTCTATTGGATCTCTCTTCATTGAACATATGATGATCTGTTGCTGACTGAAGCTTAGATTCGATTGAAATGGAAAAGGATAAACTTACACAAGTTGTTTCCTTGTTAAGCAAAGAGAAATAAATGATCTTATTTGCGTAATAGCTCAGATGATGTACAACACACTGATTTAAAGTGTTTTATATAGAGCTAGCATACCACCACCCTCTACCTCTCTAACAGATTGAGATACTTGGTTTATTACCATATATGATGATCTCGGAGTTTCGTTTACGCCATCTGGAAGGAACTAACAAGGGAAGCCCATAGAGTCGGGCAACCTTGAGCAAAACATATAAACCATCGGCAGTAGGTTTAACCTTCGGTAATCTACCTTCCGGTCTAGCTCAAGAGGGCACTTGCACCCCAGTTTGGGTAAGATAGGTGGTAGCCTCTCGGGCGATGCCCACAATCCCACATCGAAATAATAAGGTCTACCACCTTGGTCTTCTATAAAAATGGGCTCAAGTCCTAGAAAACGAGGTAACATTGATTTTGGCTATCAAGCCCTTACTTTGTCCCATATATTAATCACTCCTTTAAGCTAATTTAAGTGTCGGAGAGCCTTTAGCTGGTATCACAATACCCAAGGTCTTACCGTTGCTCTTTGTCTTGTAGATTACTCACGTCTGCCGAATGGCCCACAAGACCAAAGGCATCCTCACTCCTAAGTTGGGTCCAATAGTGGTCATCCATTTTTGGGCATCAACAATACTCTAACAACACTAACAGTTGAGCTAACAAAACTAGGCTTAGATGGTGCCACTTGTCACAATCTGATATGTCTGCTATATGACTCTAACAATCCCCTGTAATCTCAGGAGTGGAGCAGCCAAGCATGAGATTGTGACAATGTTTGAGAAAGAGAAAGGAACTGAAAAGCCTTTGGTAAGAATGTCTAGAAATTGTTCATTGGAGGACACTAACTGCAGAATAATATTTTTTCCGATAACACGCTCCCTGATAAAATGAATGTTAATTTGTTCCATTGATTGACTAACTTTTTATTTGAACTAGGGAGAGAAACATTCAATTTATGGAGTTATTTTTTGGTGTGACCATTATATGACCACAACGTGTTACCAATTCGTGCATATTATAACATGTGTGTTTATTTATTAATCTAGGTAATGACATATCAAGTTTATCGTGCATCTATATTATAGCACATGTACTAAAAACACCATGTGAAGGTATGTCACACCCAGAATTTTTAGTATTTTCCAACAGTGGGACGGAAATACCCATAGAGCAATAGATCTAGTTGGTAATCTGGTTTTGATTGGTTAGGTCAATTCTAAATCTCCACATGTGAATACTATATGGTGCACGATAAGATTGGTTGGGGTATTCAGTTAAGATTTTAATTGATTTTAAAGTAGTTAGAACTTTATGGAATTTATAGAGTTTGATAGAGTTTAATAGTGGATTTTAATAGATTTTAAAGTAGTTTAGAACCCATTGAATTTTATAAGAATTTTGATGAAATTTGTTGGAATTTTATCAAAGTTTGATAGACTTTTTTTAATTTCATTTTTATAATTATAATAAACTTCTATAAATTCAAAAATTATAGTGGTAGGTCATCATGTTTGATGTTGGTGATGGTAGTAGAGATGGTGTGGTGGGAATGGTAGATTCATTAATGGTGGGTGGGGAGAATGGTGGCAATGACCATGTCAAGTGGTGGTGGTGGTGGCGGTAGGAGATGGCAGTGGTGACGACGGTGGCGCTGACAGTGACGATGACAATGGCGGTGGTGATATGGGGGTGGTAGTGTTGTTTGGGTGTGGGTTGTGGTAGTGGGTTTGGGTAGCAGTGGTGAAGGTGATGGGGTGGTGGTAGGGGTGGTTGTGATGGTGTGGTGGCGGGGCGTGGTGGGTGTGGTGGTGGTGAGGTGGTGGCGCGTCGTGGTGTGTGGGGTGGCGAAGGTGGGAGTGGGCAAGTGACGATGGTGGGTAGAGGCCCAAGGGATAGTGGTGTGTGACTGGTGGCAGTGTGCGGCGGTGGGAAGGTGAGGGTATGGCAAGAATGGTATTGGTGTGGTGGTGGAGGTTTGGGTGGGGATGGTGGGGGTGTGGTCTGCAAGATGTGGTAGCGGTGGCGGGCTGTGGTGGTAGTGTAGGTGGTGGCCCTAGAGTGGCTGAGGCCAGGTGGTTGTGGTAGGGGTGACGCGGTGGAGTTGCAGTGGTGATGGTGGTGGTGGGGTGTGTGGATGTGGCGGTGTTGATGGTGACAGTGGATGTGGCGGTGTTGATGGTGACAGTGGATGTGGCAATGGTGGGGTGCAGTGACGGTGGTGTGGCGGGGGTGGTGGCAGCGACGACGTTTGGTGATAGCCATGACAAATATAGGGTGGTTGTGCATCAGAGAGAGGGTTAAGGGTTGTGCCGGAGGTGGTTGGTCGGTGGTCGCAGGGAAGGAGGTGGTGGGTGGGGAGGGTGGTCATCAATGGTGTGTGGCTTATGGAGGTGGGGTTTTTTTTTTCCTAAATGTTTTATATCTTTTGTTTGTATTTTTCCTTTCAAATTATTTGCTCTAAATAAAATGGACATCCAAAAAATTGACGACGGGCCCCTAATTAGTCATTTTATATAGTTTAAGTAATTAATTTATTGAAAAAAAAAAAGATTTAGGGGTAAATTGACAATTATAACCAAAGGGGCAAAGCTAACCGCAGTTTTTGCCTTAATTAAATGGGAAAGCATGAGTTACCAAGGAAAATTTATTTTAAGCATAACATTACTGAAAAGAAGAGCACAATGACATTGCAGTACTTGAAACAAAAACAAACATCGGTGGGCATCACAACATAATATGTTTGCCCATTATTTTATCAAATAAGACACGAACTAAAATGCGAAAAAAGACATGCATTCCTTAACCCTCTGGAACCTCGATCGTAGTTGCGTGGCGCATTATTAATTATTAGGTGATCAAAGACGCCTTCTTCTTGACATGGCAGCACTTATAGCTGAAGAATGCCTCCATGACATTGCCACACTCGTAGCATACCATGGCCTCTAGGGTGCTTCCAGTTGCACCTGCGATGCTAAAGCAGCTGCAGACGTGACCAGTTTTTTCAACCTCCGCCTATGCTTTTCATTAAAAACTTGTCCAAAGTTTTCTATTGTTAGTGTTACTTGCTGATTCCACGTGTGGTATTGCTCCAGAACCGTATACATTGTCGAGCCACCAAAGGCCACAAGCCTACGGCCTTGGATGAGCACAGCCCATCCACTCTTGTCATCTTTGTAGGAAAGCAGCTTCTGAACTTGTTTTACCACGTCGTCAATCTGCTTATTGATAACCTTGATATGGAACATGCTTTCTATGGCGGACCAGAAGGTGCTAAAGCCGTCATCCCCATCGTCATTATTTGCGTTCTTCTCCACAGGATATAACTCAATAGAAATCTTTGGTTCTTTTTTGATTCCATCATTTTTAAGGGCAGTTGCTCTCTCCTTGAACTTATTCATCCACACTGAATCCCCTCCGTAGAAGAAAATGTAATCGTCTTTGTTCTGTTGGAAATAAAATGTATATATAGAGTTAGTTTCCAACGGCGCGATGTTTGCATTTAAGAAAAGTGATCACTTTAAATCCTAATTTTTCATGAGAACATATTATCGTCAGCCTGCAATTGAATCCTAATTTTTTAAGGTTCTCCTTTAAAATCATCCAAGGAAAAAAAGGAAAAAAAGAAGAAAGAAGGGACCAAATCAGAAGTTATTTAGACTTTAGAACACAACAAATTTCTTATATCTATTTGATTTTTTGTGTGTGCATGCATTACTTGTATGTGCAATTAGCATGGACAACGTAAATTATAAAATGAACATCCATCAATTTGTTAGGAAGAACTCACCCATTTGGATATCTTAATGCCATCCATTAACGCGGAAAACCATGTATCTTGGAGAGAAAGTAAGAGCTGTTCTTCTTTTTCCAGTGTGAAAGGAAAGGCTTGGCATCCCCATATCAAAATCATGGGCAGAGCGTTGGAATGTTGGAGCTGACTCTTTGTGTTCAACACAACCACCACAGGCTTACCATTAAAGTTCCAATCCTCCTTGATGTACTTGATGCCTGCAATGTGGGCACCACCCTGGCCTACTGTGTACCATGGCATCTTAGCCCGCAGGGCCTCAAACTTGCGTTGCAGATCTTTAGTCCACTTCTCTACTATAGGAATCCAAACAATCTTATGCTCATTATTATCCTTTGTAAAACCATATATTCTTTGAGACGATTATATAATCCTCAGATATCTCTAGGCTCGAAATGAACAACAACACATTCTTCGTCCTTAGGATGTCGATGTGAACCTGTTAGAAATTAACATTATGCACGCAATTATAAAATCAAGTGCATGACACAAATTTGTATCTTTATTCATTCAAAATTCAAAAGAAATTAATGTGCTATGATGAGAGAGCAAACCAGTTGCTTAATGGAACCGTCGAAAATGGTTGAAAAGATTAGGATCTTCATAACCTCGATAATCTCAGTAGGAATTAGGAAGAGGTTTTTGAGCTTCTTGTAGGGCCGTAACTTCTCTGTATTAAATAATACAAAAAAGGAATGTCAGCATTGTATTGCAAGAACAACATATGTATTTCCTCGTGAATGCTCATCAAGTAAACCCACCTATTTCCTCTTCACAGATCTTAAGCTGTTGCTTAAGTTTACTGAGGATGATTGTGATCTTCTGAGAATACTGGACAAGGTCGTGTGAGTTCCCCCTGATATGAATGAATTAAAACAGTTATACTACGTTCAAATCAGTTCTTGGTAAATGATACTTGGGCGATGTATATGTTATATTGTTTGCTTGTCAATCTAAACAATTGATTAATTAGGCGTACATGATGTATAAGCATGGAGAAGATGTGGATGAAACTTACTCATCACTAGTAAGGAGGGTGATGTTAGTGGCGCAAGCTACGGTTGTAATGATACACCAATAGACATTCACCCAGATATCTTTCCTTGCATTTGCCAAGATTTCTCTCAACTCCTTTACATCATTATAAGTGATGGAATGCTTCTCCAATTGAAAGATGCAATCAATCACTTGCAATGTGGACATGATCACATTGTTGAGATCAGTGATAGCTCTGCCGCGTTTCTTGAGGTTTTCGGGCTTGAGAAGGATTGGCACACCCTTAAGGAATGCCACAGACATGGCAAGTTGGTCAGATTGTTGATGCTGGGCACTCAGCCAGAACTCTCCATATTCCAAAGAAAAAAGCCGCCAGAGCCAGCACAGCCTTCGCTTCCCATGAATACTTTGACACCTTGCTAAGTATTTTCAGCGTGGCGTCGTGGGCATTACTTTCACCTGGAGCCTTACATGGCACCTGGAATAAGTTCATATAAATAATAACATTCGAAAAGTTAATGTCAAGAATCAAGAATATATATAATCATCATGGATCTCATATTTCACTGATTGTATCTCTTGACTTAAGTGGTACCTAAATAACCTTCTCAATGTTAGAAAATGTAACAAATTCAAATCCCATCTTCCCTTGATTTAAAAAATAATAATATAAATTAAAGAATTATATAAAGAAAATAAGTTATAAAGCAATGTGATGACCTCGCGAACAATGGACTTTAGAACGCACAATGGCGTGCTGAAGCCAGGTGTAATAGTTATTCCTTCCATGGTTTCAGCATGTACTCGGGGAACCTGCAAACAAGTCAAAGGAAAATCAATTACAAGTGTTCTAATACTCAAAAACTCCCATCAAGGGTGTAACTTATGAAGCTTGGAAATTACAAAGAAATGCAACCCACTTAAATATTTCCCTCTTCCTATAAGTAGGAGCTTCTAAATTCCTATCAATGACAGTGTGACATGTGTGTAGAAGTTTTTCTTTTTGTGTTTAATGAATTATTTTTACACATGTGTCATCTCTTTGTAGGGAAGAATTGGAAAGTGCAAGAAATACCTTCTGCTCAATGTTATCGACGATCTGCTTTGAGCACTTAAGGATGCTTTCAGTGATGGAGAAAAGAGAATGAACATCAAACCTATCGTGTTCATGACTAACAACATGAGGGCATAAATGCCTTCCAAGATTTCTGTGTCAGTCATGGAAAACAGGCTCTTCGTATCAGCGGTCTCAATGTTTTCCACACCATTTTTACTGTCTACTTGAGAGCCCGGCTTTTTGAATGTTATGACAACCATGATGATATATGACTTGGAAACTTTTTCGGATGGCTTATAACTGACTTGTAGCAAACGACGACTTGTAAAGTGCCTACCTATTGCATGCCCTATTTATAGCACTACATGCTTCTCCACCTTGGAAACCTTAATTAAGGCAGTAACGTGTAACAAGGATCCACCTCATTATTTTATTCCCAATTTGCCATGTGCAATGTATTGCAGCATTCAGATTCTGATGGCATCTGACTGCCTCCCGTTTCATATTGGATCCAACTTCTTTTATTCACGTCAATATGTATTTTTTTTCTTTATTAGTAAAAGCCTTCAAGAAACATTCTTAATTTGATGCCTTTATATATGTTTTTGTATTTTAATTGATATATAATATGAGTTCAAGGCAAACAGCATCACCAGATTGATTTGGATCTATATGAGTTCGAGGACATGTATCATTTTTATTTTTTTCCAGAGGAAGGGGCAATAGTGGCGAACAGCGGAACGACCTTCCCGTTTCTATCTGGACCACTAATTATTATTAATATTTTATCCAATTAAGCAGTCCCACTAGCCTGAATTTGATCGAAAGTCGTATGTCTTCCATTCGCATGGCTTAAGTCTTCTTAATTAATTGACCAAAAAAAAACAAAAAAAGTCTTCTTAATTATCATTATCGTTTTCGAAAATTGCATCCCCCACTAACCTTAATTTTGTCGAACTATAATAAATTACTCTTTTCTTCTGCAGATCCAATCGAAAATCGTGAGATATATTGTTTATACACAATCCGCGACTCCCCACAAATGACGAAGTCGTCCAACGTCATCCACTTCGTCACTGCCTTGCTCACTAATTTTCTTTTCTTTAAAAAAAATAATATGTATTTAAAAAAGAAAGAAATAGAAAAGCATAGCTAGTGACCTAACTTTGTGACGTGGGCAATAACCAAAATGATGACGTGTTATTTTGGACAATAACCAAAAATGATGACGTTAAGAACACATATTTTGGCAACTAATTATGAGACACCACATGGATAATGAGAATATTTTGTAGGCCAATAATTGTGCTCCATTTAATTGGCCAATCATTTAAACTTAAAATAGGAAAATTACCTTCACAAAAAAGAAGAAGGAATATTACCATAAATTAGAGATTTGTGGGAATTATTTTCTGAAAAACCCAAGAAGGCAAGAGCACTACTAGTTTTCGACCACCCGATTCTCTCGTACCGCAAAGAAAACTCCAACTTTCTCTGTTATTTTCATATCTTTCTCGAGATCATCTAACTAGCTTAGGCATCGGAGGGTCTTTGGCCAACACCCATTAGTGTGGTCTATTTACTTTGGTCTTGTTCGCAGGGATCAAGGAATAGGAGAAAAAAGGAAGCTCGAAGGGCGAAGAATCAACACCCGAATATTCTCTGTGCGGAAATTTGCTCAAACCTTGTGAAAGCTTGGTCTCACTATCAAGTGTCTAGTCCAAGTAGTAGAGTTTGCCGCACCCCCACCGTATTCTCATATTCATTCAACTAAGTAATTAATCACAAAGAGATTCAAATTGTATATCTAAAGAGTTTTTCTATTAAACCCCACACTTTTCTTTGTTCATCCCAATATTTAAATAATTAAGTTCTTAAGTTTTATTATTATGTAAAAAGACAAAAAATGTCATCCTACTTAATACTTAACCCTAATACATTTATACACACACTCCCATACACCCCATTACTTGGAATAAGTCAAATTCAATTTTGAGTTTCTAGGGGGGGGCTGGTATGGCAGTTACCCTCACACCTATAGATTGAATCTAACTCGTCTTTCCCTGCCCTTGAAAAAAATAAAAATGTCAATTTGAGTTTCTTTGTCTTTGATGAATTGGCTAGATATCTTGGAGAGTATGTGAAAGACTGGAGTTAGGATGGCCACATGCAAAACTGTGATTGATAATACAAAATTAAAAGCTCTGGTGACTATGAAGTGTGATTACTGAAAATAAAACCAAAACCTCCTTGGAATTTTAATAATAAATAACATAAAATCAAAACATTACTACAACTTAATAATAATAATAGAATAATACTACTACACATTTGATAACAGTGTTTTTATCTCTCTAGATAGCCGGGGTCGTCGGGGTTGATGAGTTTTTTTTTTTTTTTTTTTTTTTTTTTTTTTTTTTTGTTTGTCAGTGTATGTTATGAGTAGTTTGGGAAGATAGTGGAGTTTTCTTAAAATTGTGAAAATTTGAAGTAGAATATAAGGTGAATAAAGAGAAATGTGGGGTGATCCACCAAGTACTAGGGAAGCTTCTCTCCTTGAAGGGTTCCAGTCTGTCTTACAGGTATGTAATTCACTAGTACTTCTCTGCAAATAAAAAATGACAAAACAAAGTCTTCTGGGAAAAAGTCGGAGTCTTTAACTAAAGTTCTAAAGTCGGGAGTCTTTAAATAAAAGAAACCAAAAAACTAAAATAAAAATACTTTGATTCTTCACGTTCGCATTGAGAAGGGAACCAAAAAGCATTTCAACATGTTCCCATGTTATGATTATTTTCTCCAACTAATCATAATCTTATCCAAAGTCGTATACCTTCCAAGTCTTGTTAATTATGCTTTAATAGTAAGTACTTGCCGAAAGAAATTGTGGCTTCCTCATACTAAAACAATTTATTCTTTTTCTGTGCAGATCCGATCAAAAGATGGTAAAATATATTCCTACTTGTATATACAAAGTCGTCATCGACTTCTTTATGCCCTACGTCACTATATATATATTTTTCAATCAATATCCAGAAAAGCGTAATTTTCAAATTTGAAAACTTTTGTTAAAGACTTGAACGTTTTTATAGGCGACTTTTCAAAGATTTTTATTTATTTTTTATCATAGACTTCAACAGTATCAATATAAGACTTCAATTGATGTCGGTGGTGTATTGATAGAGGTTATGAGCAGTGCTGTCGTTAACCTTGAGAACCCTTAATTATTAATTAAAGACTTCAAGGGCGACTTTTGATGAACTATGCCTGGTGGGTCAGACTTGCCAGTGGCAATATTTGATTTTAAAATGTGATTATGATTGAAAGTTGCGTTTTAAGTCTTTAATTAACAAAGGTTCTCCGGTTCAATGTTAGATTAGCGTACAGATGGAAAGAAATTAAAAGAGTACTGAATTGTTGGCGTCAACTTTAACTAAATAGTTTGTATGTGTGCAGTGCAGATCCCATCGTGAACGCTGATATACAATTACAATAATAGTAACGTACGTCAAAAGACTCTCATCATCATATGCACAAGCCGTAAACAAAACGGACGTCATCGTTTCCGTTACTGCTAACGTCATTTAGTATAGTAATAAACACGATCGTATATGTTTCAAATCTTCGAGAAAATCAAAACTATGTCCCATTTTTCCCTTGCTAAAATTTGAGATTCACAGAACATGCTGGATGTATACAATCTTGAATTTCTTCATGTTGGATGAAAATGACAATATGCAAGTGCAGTTGTTGGAGTTATTCCAAGCGATCAGTTAAGGTTGGAAAGAGATTAGAATTAGACTAAGGAAGAGTTCATATTCCTTTCAATATAACCAAACAAAAAAAAAAGGGAATTGCACCAGTAAAATATAAGAATATTGTCAATTGACAATGTGATGAAAGCTGTATCCATCTATATATATAGGTGTGTGTATTTTCGTTCGAGTATGATCGAATATAAATTTATATTGACAGCTGCCAGAAACAAAGAAAAACATCAACTTGACCTATTTTTGAGTCTATAAAAAGATGAGTACATGAACAATTTTCTGCACACCAATTTTTCAGTTTCGAGTTAAGTTTTGGTTTCATTTGTGTTGCTGTAAAAATCCTACCCAAATTCAGTTTCTTTACACTCTTCGCTTTCTACTTTCTACGTGCATGTCCCCTTCTCCTTTATATCTTATCCCTTAATTAATTAACCCGGTGGGTCACTGAAGCAACGCCCTCAAGGTACAATCGGTTCCCTCTCCCTGTTGTCATTTAATCTTTCTTTTTCTTTTTCTTTTTCTTTTTTTTTAATTGTGATAAATTATATTTCAGCCTTTGGAGACAATAAATGATGATGGAGAATGGTATACAAGGTAGTACCAGAGACCATACTTTAGTTCGTATAGTAGACGGAGGAATTGGGCTCGAGGCGTTGGAAAAAACAATGAGTAAAAAGCTTTGCCCTCGTTCACCCTCCTGGGCTGCCAAATGCTGCATCTTCAGAGTTCCCCCGGTGCTCAAGAGACATAAACCAGACGCATATGAACCTGATTTCATTTCAATCGGTCCGTTTCACAGGGGAGGTAAACAATTTCAACACATGGAAAATGTGAAACAATGGTATTTAAATAATCTTTTGTCACGCAGGAATCTGAGTTTGAAACACTTAATCGATCACATTGTTGAGCTAGAGCAATCCGCCCGTGAATTCTATGCTGAACCACTTGATCATCTAAGCCAGAACGACATGGTAGAAATGATGATACTTGATGGTTGCTTTCTGATTGAACTGTTTCGGAAGTACCAATCTCATCAGGAAGATGTTAATGACCCCATCTTCAGAATGGATTGCATGTTCCAATATCTATGCCATGACCTCTTGCTGCTAGAAAATCAGCTACCTTGGTTTGTTCTCCAGCATTTATATCACCTTACCCTCGACCCCTATAAATCCAGTCCCTCCCTCACTGTACTCATGCTCACAGCCTTCACATCACAAAAACCATTGAAGCATAACTGCGACTCCTATCTAGGGTATGTTTATGAGGAGAAGCATGATAAAAATTGCAAAACTCTGCACATACTTGATTTGATAAGAACTTCGATAGTTTTCCCATTCCAAGACCACAGAAAAGAAAAGAAAAGGAAGCGAAGGAGAAAAAGAAAAATGTTTGTAGACCAAAAAGAAGAAGAAGAAGAAAGAGCAATGACCAATTGGACACAGATATGGACTCGGAGTTTCCTCCTGCAACTGCTCTATCGGAGGCAGGCGTTAAATTCCAAAGCAATACAAAAGCTGGCAGCATAATGAATATCGAATTTGAAAAAGGGGTCTTCTGTTATTTTGGATACAAAAGGGGTACTTTTGAAATCCCACACCTATCAATTGGGGAGTTGACCGACCCATTATTTAGGAACCTCATTGCCTTTGAGCAATGCTATCATCACCATTCGCATGAGATAACATCTTATGCATTTTTGATGGATAAACTCATCGCTTCCAGCAAGGACATGGAGTTTCTGTGTGATAAACGGATAATAGATAATTGGTTGAGCGCTGAAGATGGTGCCAAGTACTTCAGCAAGCTCTGCAATGACACCGTGCTAAAAAAGTTCTACTATGAGGCACTCTGCGAAGAAGTGAATATGCATTACAAGGTTAAATGGTACAGGTGGCTTGAAAAGTTGAATCGTGACTATTTTGCAAATCCATGGAGTGTCATTTCTCTCATTGCAGCTGCTATACTTCTGGCTCTCACTGTCGTGCAGACTGTGTATACCATTCGCGGTTAGCTTTGAAGGACAAATGTTAATTGTTTCTTTTTTGTTGTTGTTGGCACTAAGCTTTGCAGGAGAAGTGTTCGTTTTTTCTGCTAAACTTAGTGTAATGCTCTTCTTGTAACTTTGATGTGTTCATAAATTCACATGATTTTATATCCTTTTTACTTAGTTTTGTGAATTAATTTGGACTAAAGATGCTGAGTTGAGTTATTTCCTGTTTTTCAGCTTATGAGCCACGGAATGAATAAATTCGTCAAATATTCATCGTAATAGAGTTCGACATGATTCCAATTGGAGATGGGAGACAGCATCTTGAAGTTTATCCATGAATATTTTCATAATTTTTGAAGAGTTCTAAGGTGCCCATTTTTAATTAGACAATTCAGCATAAATCAATTCCCGGAGAATACTGAGTCAGCAGGGGTATTTTGGCTACAACTCACTCATACGACATCGGATTGAGGCACATGATATATGGCTGAAAAGAAGACATCCAGAGCTTTCCAAAGAGTGGTCGTACGTAATTTTTGGAGGTCAGAAACGTGTCCAAATCGCATTCGCAATGAGGATCACGTGCAGTTTCCTGGAGGTTTTAGGAAACTTAGTTTTAATTAACTTTTCTAGTTAGGAACTGACTTGGAAATCAAGTCTTCGTGTAAGGCCACTTGTTTAGGCCCATTCTAACTAGGTTTTAGGTTCTTTTAAGAGGGGAGGTCGTAGAGGCTCAGGAGACCATAAATTTCAGACTTCAACCGTGGAGCAAGGAAGAGCCACCGTGCCTCTAAACTCTAAGGGTTTTCCTTATCTCTTTCTCCATGTTTTATTTTTGCTTTGTTACCATGATTATGAGTAACTAATTTTCTTTTACTAAGACACAATTTAACCCTTTTCTAATTATTCAAAGCTTAGTTATGTCATGCTATTAGAATTTCCATGTTGTTGAAATTTAATCACTGTGCTTATTTTCCTAACTAATGATCTTGATGCTTAGCTACCATCTAGGTTTTTGGTTAAGTAATTTGATGCATGTTAGGGTATACGCCATGCCTAATATGAGTTTTGCTTCTTGTGATTAAATTCATGAATGCGCCCAAGGTAAACACTATACTCTTAGGGGTTTGTGTGATTGTGTGAAGTTCTCATTGAACCTAAGGTCTTTTTATATGTTTATATTTATGCCTCACGCCAAGGATAAATTGCATGTAAGAAGAAGTGGTTAATTGCTGTGAAAAGAGTTAGTCATAATTTTGGAGAACTAATCATCAACATAACTTGGGAATTTTGATAGTATGCATGCTAAGGTTTGGATAAGAGGAATTGTGGTGAAATTGTTGTCTTGGTAAGCTTCTTTAAAATTTTTCACAAACTTATTTAGTTCACGTTTTTCTTCGTTATCTTGTCTTTTAATTTTCTTGTTTTCAACGTTCTTTCAAAGAAAATCTTTCAAAACCAACTTTCAAAACTCCTCTATTAAGTTTTAGTTGAGTCATTAGTTTTAAGTTTATTAATTAGGGTGTCTAGAGTAATTTAGGATTTCAATTAGTTTATAATTCACAACAACTTGAGAATTTATTCAGTCTCTGTGGGAACGACCTTGTACTTGCCTTGGCTATATTGCATTAACCTTGTACGCTTGCAAGTTTATTTCTTGAACTTAACTATCTAATTTTCAGGTAGTAAAATTATACATCAAACTTTCTACTAAAAACAGCTCGAGCGTTTTCTGGTAGAGAAAAACAGCTCGAGCTACTTTTGTTAGAAACTTTTAAATTACTGTTTTTGTTGCTTGGTCTCTATGAAGCCACGTTGGTGGCATTTGTGTAGGCTATTGTTAGCCTTTCCCTTTAGTTGGAAATAAGCTGACCATCAAGTGGGCAATTAAGATTGTAATAGATATTTTGTAGAGAGAGTTGCTCTCCATTGTGAATAAATTGAAATTAAAAAAAAGGGTGAAACAAGTTTGGTCTGTATTGCTCCAAACCTCTGAGTTCATTCTCTTATTTATCATTCTCTTTCTCTTATCTTTGCATATTAATCTCTTGAGTGATTTGCTGCTAGCATTACCAAAAAATTTCCAACCTTTTCTTCACTATGTATCTTGATGTACCGAATGCAGGGAATCTCAAACATTCGAATAACCCTACTAATCAAACTTCATCATCAAGTTTCTGATATGTTTCCCTTATAGTTCTAATTCAACATAGTGGTACACGTGCCTAAATCTATAGGCCATCTGAAAACCCCAATTCTGGAATCTCTAATCTCTGAAATCTCAATTCTTGAAAAAAAAAATTAATTTCTCCAAATGCCAAGTATGTCATATTTCTGAAACTTATGAATTTCACAAATCTCAAATCTTCTTGTCTCAAATTCTCTTCTAAATCTTCTTCTTCTTCCTTATTATTCTTCATTTCTTCAAATCTTCTTAATTTCTAAGTGATCATTAAGTTCCTGTCTTCTCTTTCCTTCTATCTTAGTCTCTCTGATTTGGGCCAATGATTGCGTTTACTGTTTTGGGATAGTTGTTGGGTATGCAAATATTTGGAAGATTAGATTGGGCATGTTAATCATGATGGTTAAGCGTATTTCAAGCATGGGTGCAAAAAAATTCTGGCATATGTTTTACCAAGTATATGGACAAGGCTTGATTCTCCATTATATTTGGTTGGAGGCACAAGAATTTGGTTAAATCTACAAGTTAGTTGGGCCTTTGTTCTCAAAAGGCTTTTGTGAAAACAAGTAGTCAAAAGGCTTTTGTGAAAACAAGTAGTCATCGCTAAAACATATAAATTCGTCACAATGAATCATATTTGAGGAAATTTCTGCTTGACTTCCGTCACCAATTGTCTAATGTGACAGACCCGAGTCGTCACACATCTTCCCTATATGTGACGAATAGTTTGTAACCCATATGTATCAACTTGGAGTTTAATCCAAAGATCGCAAACACTGTCACACCCCAACTCACGGATTTACGTAATCTTTGATTAAGATGTGATTCACACCTTAATTATAGAATTTAATAAAAACTATAACTAAGGGCCAGTTTGGAATTGCAGAGCTGTGAAAATAATCGCTTTCAGATTTGCTATAAGAGAAATCAACTGTGAGATAAAAGTAGTTTGGCATTTAGTAAACTTTTTGTTAAAAGTGTTGCTGCTACTAATTCTTGCATAATCAGAACATGATTGCCGCATAATCATTAAACCCAGTGCCTCTTCGAAACTGATTCCTGCATAATCAGAAAGCACCTCATTAGCTGATTTCCCTTATACCCCCGTTTGGTTCATGGGAAAGGAGGCTTTGAGAATGAGAATTCAATTACTTTCCCGTGTTTGGTAAGTCCAGGTATGGGAAATGGTTGCTTGGCACATAAGAAAGTAGGGAGGAAAGTGAAGCCCTCCTCTTAACTTAGGTTTTGTTTTCCCTCATCGTGGGAAAGTTTGGGAGAATGAGCAAACATTTCAATGCACAATTTTCATGACTATTTTGTCCCTATGAACAATTTAGAATTACAACGTATCATTAAATGCATTCTTTTTTTATTTGATTTAATATGGGTGTAATTGGAAAATTATACAAATTTTATTTTTCATTTCTACTTAAAACAAACATGGGAAAGGAAACAAAGTGAAATCTCTCGGTCACTTTCCCGACATTACCAAACGTGGGAAAGGAATCTTGCATTCTCATTCTTTGGGAAATGACGTGGGAAGTGATTTCCCCTCAAATCCATTCCGTGAACCAAACGGGGCCTTATAGCTTTTTCTCACAGCAATTTTTAACAATAACTGATTTTCTCATAATTTACCAAATGGCCTAGGCTTCCAATATTTTTTTAAAAAAATCACTTATCAGCCCAAATAAGCAATGTCAAACAGGCACTAAAATGTGAAGAAGATTAAAGTAAATAAATAAATATTTCAAATCGAATTTTCAGCGGAAACAAACAACATCCAAAATTTTACTTTTTTACATTATTTTACAAGTTAGAACTACTCAAGAGTAAACTAAAAAGGTAGCTCATCATTCAACCACAAGCTATGTACACAATACACTCCATAGGCATGTCAAAATCATCACCGAATTTTGTTAATTGAAGTTGACAAGAGTGGTTGGACTATCTTGATCACTTTCTTACTTCTTGGCTTATTGTTAGAGTTTGGGCTGCTTCCTTTCGTTACCAATGTGGGTTAAACAAATCAATAAGTAATTTTGAATTCTTGTATATTGATATGTGTAAGGATTACAATATTTATATTATATTTGTACAATAAAGATATAAACGGTAATTAGGCCTCATCATTTGGCCCGCGGGCTCATGGGCCGATGGGACCCGCCCGACCCATTGGAAAAAAGCCCAGCCCGCCCGTTATGGGCTTTGAGATGGCCCGGCCCGCCTTGGGCCGGGCTAGGCTTGGGCTTGGGTGTCTGAAGCCTGGCCCGGCCCACCCACAAAAGCCCGGCCCGTTAGGCCCGCATACATATATAATTATGTATAAATAAGAGTTTAGGATTAGGATTATATCACTTAAATCACATATATAATTTGTTTCATTTCATTTACTTTTCTTTACTCATTCCTAGTTTATAATTGGATGATTAGCACATTAATTTGTGTCAATTATTAATACAACAATTATATATATATATATATAAATAAGATGAACAATATATCATATCACTAAATATAATCATATCACGAAACATAATCGTACTACTACCACCAAATATAATCATGTTTTTCTTAAACACATCACCAAACATTTACATATTTATTTATACCATCCTTTAAAAAAAATATCTTTTTGATACTTATTATTTTTTAAAATTATTTCTTAAAACGTATTACGGTCTAATTATGTAATAACCTAAAAAATAATACTTTGTTTTATTATTTTTATGGAAAATCTTATTAAGTTGTGTGACTTTATTGGGTATTTTATGAATTTGATTTGATGTGAAAATATTGGAATTAAGTGAGTTTAATCTCAAATTTAGACTAAAATGCCCTTATGATTAAGTTTATGATTTTTTTTGAATGAAGTAGGCCCGTTAGGCTTAGCCCAGCCCGGCCCAATGGGCTTTCAAAAGCCCGACCTATGGGTAGGGCTTGGGCTTTGAATTTTCTAAAAAAACCCGGCCCGGCCAGTCCCAAGCTCGCGGCCCAGCCCATTGACGAGCCCTAACGGTAATAGCCTTAAATGGTAGTAATTACAAATATTTGTTGAGCAAGTCAACTATGGTG